CATCTGATACCCCCGTGTTGGTGTAGTTCCTGCATTATCTTAACGCTTTAGAGCCAATGGTATCATATTTGATACACAGTTTCTACAAATTAAAGCTAATATGTGCAAATGATTTTTTTTTATCTCATCAGAAAGTTCAATAAACACTCAATTTCCAAAAAATTTTAATTTTCTGGCAATTATTTCATGGTTCAGGCTTTAGATCAGGATCAGCAGTGCAACTGAACGATCATGTAGTTGTGCTATCGTAGCTTTGCAATGTGGGGAAAAAAGACATGTTTTCCTCTTTGTTTATATAAAATTCTGTTCTGGAAAGAATTGTAAGAATTTCAAGTGTTTTCTTTATTTTTTCGTACAATAGAATAAATATATGATCATTAGCCAAATTCTTGGATAATGCTACTCTAACATAATTATCATGACATAGAAACACCAACACAGTGATATCAGATAGTGTGTGTAAAGTGACTGTGTTTCTTAAAAAGGTGTTAAGCAAATGTGATTTCTTTTCTCATTATTTTTGTTTTGCATTTCTTCTGCCCTTTGACATAGATTCAACCAAAACAAAAGAAAGAAAACTGTTTGTTTATAACCTTGTACGGGTTCTCTAAAGTGAGGTGGCACTGCGATACTGACAACATACCCAAACATCTAGCACCACTCTGCCATCCCACACCTGTTTATACAACAGTCTGGCTCTAAAACAATGCTTTGAGAGTGACACAGCTGCAGACCAGCACTGTCATCCACATCACTTTGCCTCTTTAGGTCTCTGTTGCTTAAGCAGTAAAATAAATTAGTAATCAAACCAATAAAATATGCAGAGTATTTACATCACAAAAACATGTAAAGAAAGACAAAGGAAGGGTCCCTAGATGTCTGCGATGTTCTGAAAAGAAAATTACCAAACAACTCATCATCACTTATTTATCGACTATGCATGTTCAACTGCTTTACATGACTGCTGTTCAAACCACAATCCCATTCTTCTGATCAGAGCATGGAAGGAGTCCCAAGAATCCCAAGTATTGCGTAAACCCATAAACACTTTCTTCCTTCAGATTCCCAGGAGCCATTTCACTACTAGCTCTAAGGATATCACACCCAAATGAACACAGCATCAGACATGATGATTTCCTGTGTTGAATAATCATGAGTCTAAGAACAAACACCTTTTTAATTTCTTCCTTCTTCTATTCTATGATATCAAACCAAGCCTCGTCGAAACACCACGTAACAGGCATGTGAGTGCACTACTGGCACTCAGCTGAGTCACTGCCTCGGCTCAAACCTGTGTCTGCAGGCGCTTAGAAGTCAGCAGTGACAGGTTGAAACAATAACGGTGCTGATTACTCACTGGAGCTTCCAGTGAGTCATTGCAAAAGGAGACAGCATTGTCTCACAAAACGGCATGCTAGCATGAATGTCATCGGTGTGATGTTAATTATAAGTGTTGCATAAATATGTCCGTTTACGCTTGCAGTGAGAACGGATCTTTTCAGGGTTGTTGTATATAGCGCTACATTAAAACCAGTGCGTTCTCAAAAAGAACGTCTATTTATTTTTAGGTTTCATATAGTTTTCTTTGAGAAGTACAATACTGTGAAGTGCAGTACTGACCTTTGGTAAGCAATTACAAAAGGCAAAGATTACTACCACAGAGAGCAGGACACGAAAAGAGAGGACTTACCTGTCCGCATCCAGGAGCACTGCACACAAAAGGTCGGTCGTCCCCCATTTTTGCAAAGAGCCTGCAATGTAACTGTGGTAGAGGAGAAGAGAACATTGTTGCAGCTTTTTTTTTTTTTTTGTTGGTGTGTGTACTGGCAAAATCCTGAAAACAACAAAACAGTGATGCTGTGGCTTGTAGTCTTTAGTCTGAGCAGGAAGCCGAATGGTATTTAAAAATAACCCTGGCAAGGAGGAAAACACGCACAGTGGCAGCGAGAAGAAGTTTCCCTGGTGATACTTCCTTCACACACACGGGGGCTTCGGGCTGGCCAATGAGGAGCCTGCTTACACGAGAGGACGGCAGCTACCGTTTACACAAAGACATCTCCGTCTCCTTCTCTTTCCCTGTCTCGTTTTTCCTCACTTCCAATGCCTCCTTCTCTCATTACTACTCTCTCCTCACCTCTCTGCCACCTTGCCTCCCCTCCCCTTCTCGTACCCCTCATTCAATGTTTCCCGCTCTCTGAGTCAGCTGTTTCTCTGTGCACGCACATGCAATCTAAGGTTAAGTACCTCCTCATTCACTTTATGAAGGTTTTCATGTGTTTCCACACAACAGATCTCTGGCACTGGACACATTCCCATTGACCTCGCTGCGTTTTGTTCTCCAGGTCATCTTACTACTTCTAAATGAACATCTGATACTTATATTTTAAATATTATGAAATTTTGCAATCTTAAAGTGGATGGTTCAGCTCCTGAGAAGCAGGATTAAGAGTTTTAAGGTAATTTGACATAGCTAAAACTAACAAGTTTTTTGAAACATGAACATTTAACCACAGTTTATTGTTATATTAGTAAGTACTTTAAATTATGTATAGTTTTTTTTTACCAATATGTATATATTGTTAGAGTGTAGCTACCTTTTGCTAGCTGGTTGTTAACATGACTTACAAAAAAAAGACATTCAACATAAAAAAAATTCATCAAAAGATAACCATTATTTCAAAAATATTTCAGGGCATAATCACGCCGTTTTGTATTTCTTAACTTCTAATAAATGTGCCCCAGGATTTTAGTTTTAGTGTACTATTAACACAGTATTAACAGTATTTTATAAAGTAAGTAAAAATAGAGGCATATGTGGGCAGCACTGTTGGCCCTTCTAATCTACTAAAAAACCTAAAAAGCTTTCCAATAAAAGTTATACACAACACCCCTCTCACCTTCTTATTATATGCTGTTGTTGAGAGTTAAATACGTGCATGTTTTATTTGTTTTCTTCTTCTGAAGTGGCAAAAAAATGCAAGCATACTGCTTCAATCTCTAATGCCACCAACCCACCCCCACCCTGCGCTGCTCTGCACAGCTGAACAACACTGCACGTGGAGACAAACTGGGAAGTTTAGAAAAATAACTCATTAAATTTAAATCGGGAAATTGGAGGGGAGGGGGGAGGGGGTAGAGGCAACGGACATGAATGTTTTAGCATTCTCAGCTGGCCCAGAGTGACGTCTGGCAGCTATTACACAACACTGTCCCACTGAAAATACACCAACTGCATCGAGGACTTTGTTATGTACACACGCAGACACAACCAACATGTACACAAAGGAAAAATAAAGCCACTCACTGGTATTTATGTAATATACTGTATATATTATACTCAATGTTCTCCAGCTCTTGAGCAAAAATGTTGTCAGACTTTTGTGATTTAACACAAGCCCTAGGATGTCTTTTGTGATTCACCTCTTAAAGTTTTACTTTAAAAAAAATGCTGATTTGAAGCCGGGGTAGACTCTCTGTTTTTAACCATCAACTGACAGTCCATAATTATCTTTCAGTTTATTGCAATTCAAAAAGCAAAAGTTTTCCAGCTTTAGAAAACATATATTTAGAAAATATAGCCGATGGGCCAATCACAGGTCTTTCAAGACCAGACCAGTTGAGCACTACCTTACAACCACTGGCAGGCAAAGTGAATAACATTATACATTATTTCATTACAACTGCTGGAAAATCCTTGCCCCTGGTATATATGTATTATGCATTTATACATGTTATTGTGACACATACCAACTAAGCATTGAGGCAGTCTAAAGTTGTCATGATACTAGAATTTCAAACTCAACACTTGTACACAGAAAAATATTCGATACCCTTTTCAATACCACAGGCAAGATTTTCTGCATCCTGCAACTAAATAATGTCAAAGTAGTGATATCGTGAAAAAGTTAACTTTTTTTTTTACACTAATTTTCCATAAATTACAGATTTTGAAGGTTAAAGAAATTTATCTTCACGAACAAAAACTGAAAGACTTAACCGGTCCTCGATTGGATTTTAAAACTGACCTCACAGCTGGCAACAACAAAACAAGAAACAGATTTTGATAAACATTTGTTAAAAATAAAATAAAAAAAGCTCAGGTTTCTCATCTGGTCCACATCTGCCGGCAGCAGATGTTGAATACAGTTCACACTGCTCCTCAGTCTGCAGCTCTTCACATACTCAGCTCTGCTCTTCAAGACTGAAACCCGTCCAATTCTGCTGCACTGCTCCAGATTTCACTCTCTATTTGCTCCAATTAGTTCTCCACACTCTGGACTCTCTGCTCAGTTCAACTATGCTTCCCCAACTGCTCTGAAAAGCCAGCAAAATGCCCAGTTCTCCATGTGTCTGTAATCCAGTCTGTTACAGCTCAATAGCCCATTCAGCCTGCAATAATTATTCATCTTTTGTCTAACTACAGTCGACTATCATCTGTTAATGATAACATATTACTAATGTGGCTATGGGGCAATTACTAATAGTTAAACAGCTATCATTACCATGTGTGCTGGTTAGATAACTGTTTAATATTTCAATGTTGTTGAAACTAGAGCTTTACTGACCTCTGAAATTCCTTCTAAAGTGTTGTTCGGTATTATGGACAATAACTACTTCAGCTGTTAGTGAGGGGAGGAGCTGTGGGCCTGACTACAATGGTGCTGCATGCAGTTGTGTGTCAGCTGGAAGATGCAAAGACACCACTGTTTGCATTGATACTCTTGCAAACGAGTATCTTAATTTAATATTAATTTTGAGCGCAGGTTTTTTTGTGTGTGACAACAATGGTAACGTCACTCGTCCTCGCCCGATTCCCCACTCAGCAGGACAATGCAGCCACTACAATGCAAAAACTGATGAGTACAACTTCCAACATCCTAAGGTGATTGAGCAACTGCGGGATGCACCGGAGCAAACACCACACCACACAGCTACCCATACGGCCCAAGGGATCACATCGCCAAAGTCATCCAATGAGAAGCCACGAGACATTCCCAGACGTCCCCGGTCAATAGCCCAACAGGGCAGAGATGTTATGAAAGAACACGTTCACCTGGGATATAAGGATTTGAATCTTGTTTGCAGCCAAGCATAGACAAATTTTCAACAGGTAGGGTCAAAAACCAAAGAGGAGAAATCTGTTGAGTATAGTAACATTGCAGTCTCATTACTTTTGAGCAAAAATTTGTTTGTGAAAATAAAAAGTTGCTTAGTACATAGAGGTTTTCAACAAACTGGAAAGAAAAGACAAATTAAAAATGTTTCACTATTTCTGAGTTACTGACCACATTAACCTCGGCTGTACCTCTAACATGTGTTGTGCATGTCATTTAACATTATTGAGTGGGACAGATTATTCATTTTTTTGGCGAGGCATAAATGTCTGAAAGTTTTCCCAATGTTGAAGTCAGTATATTTTCCTCCTTCCATCTCTCCCTCTGCAGTCCTTGAGCCAGCGCGCGATTACCGAAGCCTTGCGCTGGAATAAGACACTCTCCCGTGAAGCTTAGCTTGTAACAAACCTAACGGTTGTGTCTCTCTGCTTCATGAGAAAAGGGGTCTGCATCATATTTGCAGGCAAACGCTGCCCCTCTCTGCACACGTCAAAGAACCCATGAAACAGAGAAGTCTGATTTCTTGCAGGCAACAGGTCAGTGCAAGGCCCCTCACAAAGTGCTTCCAATCTACTGAGTCTATTTGGGTGGACGTGTCTGCAAACGAGATACTCCATCTAGCTCGTTATACCGAGGGTGTGGACTGTTTGAGGAAATGGACACATCTGGCATCAGGAGTAGGAACAGATTTCAAAGTTTACATCTTACTAAAGACATGCTAGACATTAACTTGGCTGGCTGGCACCAACATGAAATGTGGGATTTGATTTTGTGGAAAATCCACCATAAATTCCAGATGACAGGGGTGGAAAACACCATTTGTTTTCATAGCTGCCCCAACCAATTGCTTAAACTGATTAAAACAGATGTGTTAAGGTCTTTTCTTCAGCATCTTTTACTTGCTTCACATTAAGAAGCCATCCGTAATTACCGCCTAGATTTATTTATTTATTTATTTATTTTTTACAGGTAGAAATGATACAGTTAAATTAATGTTGCGACTGTCAGAAGTGTCTCACTAACGTTTTCCTATACCCTCAAATAGCTACTTCATGCAGACCCCCAATTTCATGCGAGATAATCAGTCAACTCGTTACATCAGTCCTGATGCACATCACTGATATCAATTACAGGTTTTGATATCAAGTATTTTCACCTCCTTTCATCCAAGGTGACATGGAAGCACTCAAAGCGTTCTCATTTCTGTCTCTCTCATTGAGTCGATGCCAAAGTCCCAACATTAACTTGGATTTCTCCGACTCAGCAGGTGTAAGGGAACAAGTCCCAGCTATAATCAGCCACAGCCATCCAGTGTTTGACGCCGCCTGCTAGGAAACTGACTAAACAAACTGTATTAATAGCTTGCACTGCAGCCATGACTGTGGAATCTGGGGCTTAAATTGCCAGAGGGTAGGGAGACCCCACAAAGAGAAAAATAACTAAAGGGGGCTGGAGGGGAGAGGGATAAAAAAAGAAACCGTGAAAGAAAAAAAATGCAAATCAAATATGTGCTTGGATAATTATGGGATCAGAGGTGAGCATTTGAGACAGGACATCCAGGTTTATGGCTGGGTGTGTGCAAGAACCAAAGTGTTTTGTTTATGTAAGCAAAGTGAGCACAAGATTTAGTAAATGGAACAAAAGAAATCCTATTCCTACTTCTGCATAACCAACAAGGCCTGAAAGCTAAATCAGTGTTGATGCAGGACAATACAGGATGGACTCAAGGGAGCTTCCTAAAATTAAATCAGAGACATTTTGTAGATTTGATTGTGGTCTGCAACTTTAACAAGCAAATATAGATTTATAACTATAAATTCAAAAAGAAGAACACCACATTGAAATGTAGCCAGTAGCTTTTACCCATACTCTACAACACTTTCAAGCCAATCATTACTTAACTAATCTAATCAACAGAAATGCCTAAAAGCATGCAATATACACGTTAAAAAAAAAGTTTCATTTTCAAGCTGCAAAGAACATTTGTGTTGGGTCCAACTTCCAAACATCTCGCATTACTCTTCAGTAATTGCATGTATTTGGTTGGACAAGACATAGTGCAGTTTTCTCAGTTCTAACACTTCTCTTAGTGAAGGAATGATGCACAACTCTGCCAAAAACATGACCTACATTTCTCAGGAAGGTGTTGACATGGATGGAGACATGGATCGTGGGGCGTTGAGCAGTTCAAATTGCAATACTGTGGATATCATTAGTACTTTTTTTTTTAAGGTTTTCTTGCAAACCCAAATTCTCGCAATATATCCTACCGCCAAAAAATCTACACGAGCGCGCTTTTTTCCACATATTCGGCAATATAAACGAAGATTATTTTAAAGTTGAATTCCCAAAGTTCCACAAACTTTAGTTCCTTTGTGAAGACACCGCTAACTGTGTCGAAAAGGTTTGTCTTTTTTAGCCTCCATTACCTCTGGCTACGTACGGGTACATAAGCCCAGCCTTTTCCCGTAACAATGCCGCCTATTCTGTTCAGCAATTGGCCACGAGAGCGTCAGTTAGCGACTTCTAGGGCACTCATAGGTTCGAACCCTGTCAATAACGTCCGACAGCTGAATCTGATTGGCTAAAATCTCGAAATCAACGTTTTTTTTCCTATCAACGCAAAACTAATGGCTAGCTAATGTGGCTAGCGTTAACAACAGGCCGAGCGCACACTTAAAAAGTGAGTGATAGCAGCACTTGCTACCACTTTCTGCCATGACAATAGACATATATTAAAATCAATTTAATAACATCCGACGTGAATTGCTGTATTTCAAAGTGCACTTCGGGTATTTAGAGTAACAACAGCCGAAAAGGCTAGCACTTAGTTGGTTGGCGGAGTGACACTTGAGTGCAAAGCGAGACACAGTGGGTCCGAATGAAACGTTGTAGCTCCCACAACAGTTTTGACAACTACATAGACGTGTCGTTTTAACGTCAGCAAACACTGAAAAGTGTCGTGTCGAGCGTGACATTGTAATCATTTACTATACTCGAATAATCTATGGTGAATTTAAAGGTTAATAAAGTGTTTACAAACTCACCCTCGCGCCCCTCTCTCTGACTCCCCTCTCCTCTCTCTTGGAATTTGACACTCCCCTCGACGCGGACTTATCGCGAGATTTCGTACAAGCTATCTCTGCCTGGCCACATGTAAAGAAATGCACCAGAAAGCTCCTACATTTATTTGTTTTGTTTTGTTTTAATTTAATCATAATGAAAGTTCTGTGTATATAAATTCAACCCAAATTTTCTGCAGTTTAATGATGAAACGAAACTTAATTTTTGAATATTTTTCTGACTCATCAGAAATTGTAACCCTTACTCTTACATTTTTTTCCTGCCGCCAATTCCGGGGCCGGAATCCCCCCCCTCAGCCTTTGTATATATCTTTAAGCATAGGATGACTAGATGGGAAAACAGTCTTTATGTTTTCTGTGTCATTTATTAAAGCTTAAACAGAGAAACATTGACTTCAAGTCCACCTATACAGTGGGTGCAATTAAGATATTAATTGTAACTGACTCGTGAAAAGAGGTAAATTTGGCTTTGCAGGGTAAGAATTCCCCTCATAACTGTATGAATTTGATGGGTTTTCAAACAATAAACTTTTGCGAATATAACACATCCTTTTAAATACTGTACATCGTATGTAGAAGCTTTTTGGAAGCTTGAACTGTCACTTACATTTTTAAGATATGTCTCATTTGTCTGATATCATCAACATGTCATTAATTTAAAAAGTTACTGACTGTGCATCTGTGTGATTCAAAAAACATGATAAAACATTAAAATGATGATACTTGTGGTGCATATTAGTTTCATGATATCTTCATTTTTTCAAGTCACTGATTGAAGTTTTGTTACATGGTATGTCACAGCTGTCAACAGTGGGGTCGTTCCCCTCTTGATTTGGTTTCCTTCCTGATACTCTCAACTTATCCCTTTGTAAAGGTACAAGCCCCAAATAGCTGGTTAAAAAAAAAATCACAAATGAATATGCCTGAACTTGTGATCATGTAAATGTAGCTCTTCTTATACATTTGAAAAATGCATTCAAAAATGTATTCAGATAAACTGGCTGATGTAATCTACAGCCAGTGTTGCTTAACAATAAATGTTTCCTCCGATATAGAAGTGTCACATTTACTTCAAAGGCAGTCTTACAAGCTGGTGACTTAGAGACAGGGCTAGAGGGACCCCCAATGGATAATATGAGAATTGAAGGTGCTAATGGTAGCTTTCAAATTCTTTCCAAAACACTGAAGTAACGGTATAATTGGTCATTTCTTTGACTTAAATATGTTTGTCAAGAGCTTTCCCCAGAAAAAAAGCATTTAGCATTTTAAAATGTAAAATTAAATACAAACCTTGTTTAACTGTTGTAAATAGCACTTCTATCATAACTCCATCGATACTCTGGGCATTTTTTTGCACTACAATTAGAAATTACTTCACAAATACTAAGTATAAATATATTATCCGTTTCCTCTGAACTGCTCGCTGTAGCCGCTGTGATCCACTCCAACATGTGTACTAAAACTCTTATTTTTTATTATTCATGCCCTTGAGAGAATATGTTAGATGCAGCAGATCATGAATATTACTTCTGAATTTAGGTTATACACCCACTGGTCACTTTATTAGGTACACTTTTCAACTGTACATTAACACAAATATCAGCCAATTACATGGCAACAACTCAATGCATTTTGGCAATTAGAGATGAAGACGACCTGATGAAGTCCAAAATGCACATGAGAATGGGAAAGGAGAATAGTTGGACTGCTTAGACCTAATAGGAAGGGAACAGTAACTCAAATAACCACTCCTTAAAACCAAGGTATGCAAAAGAGCATCTCTGAACATGGAACCACAAAGCATAAGGGCTACAGCAGCAGCAGACCACACCGTATGCTACTCCTGACAGCTGAGAACAGGAAAGTGAAGCTTGCCTAAAACAAAGCACAAAGGATTCGAAAAACGCTTTCTGGTCTGATGAGCATAGGGTCAGAATAAAAAAACAACATAAAAGCACGGATCTAGTCTGCCGGTGGTGTAATGGTGAAGGGATATTTTCTTGGCACACTTTGGACCACGTAGTAACAACTAAGCATCATTTAAATGCCACAGTCTGAGTGTTATTGCTGAACATGTCCGTCCCTTCATAACCACAGTGTAGCTATCTTTGGTGGCTGCTTGCAGCTGAAAAATGCACCATGTTACAAAGCTCAAATCATCTCAAACTGGTTTCTTGTACAATGACAATGAGTTCACTAGAGCACGCTTGGGATGTGGTGGATCGGGTGCTTCACATGGTGGACCTGTGGCCCCCAAATCTGCACAAATATGTCATGTCGTCATGTCAATATGGCCCAAAATTTCTTAAAAATGTTTCCAGCAGTCGAACCTTGTTATGAAGAATTAAAGAAACTCTGGAAGTAAAAAAGGGGTCCAACCCAGTACTAGCAAGATGCATCTAAAGAAAGTAACACATGAGTGTATATTTTGACAAAGCTACATATGTTATGTTATGTTCAGTTCATGGTAGCCTGTAGCCATGCACTGAGCTTTAATAATTGCACTTGGTATATGGTCTCTTTAATGAAAGATATTTGACATGCCAGAAGCAGGAACAAAGTTTAAAAAACCCCATCATGGCTCGTGTTTTAAAACGCTGTCACTGTGAATGTTTGGTCATCAGTGACAGTGCTTACTGTAACAGTTTGTTATTAGATATAACCTGTGTTGTATATGCATATTGTAAAACAATCACAGCGCAGTCAATAACAGGTATAGACATCAAGTATTCTCTATTAGATGTAATTAATTGTGACTTGATATATATGAGCTATCAATGTGTGATTTTTGTGAAGAGCAGAGAGAAAAGAGTGAGCTGGAATATAAAGGCATTTACTTGCAGTATGTTTACAAAGAAGAAAAAAAGCACCTTTGCTGGTGTACACAAGACATGATCTAGAGGTTAACTTTTACACATTTGTAGAAAGGCAAACATAATCAAGCACAGAAATTGTCAGATTGTAGACAAGTGCTTTAACAAATTGCAAGTTAGTGAATCCTTCAAAGACACAAACTTAGTCATCATGCCATATCATGGTCCTAATACGTAACAATTTAAAATAAAGTCACTTTCAAATATCCTGCAAAATGTTGGACCAGCGAGCACCCTTGAAACACAAACTTTTGCAAGTTAAGACTGAAAACTTCCACTGATAATAAAAATAAAACAAAAAACAACAACTTTATTCCTTATTGGCAACTGGAACTGCAACTTTTTATTTCATTTTATTAAAATATAGACCAAATAAATACTAAATCACAAGACTGCAGACTTGCTATCAGAGCAGAAGAACTTCCAAAGACTATGGAGGCAAAGTTAGTGTGCCTGGCACATCATGTGAAACCAGTAATAGTTACCAACCTTCTGCTGCATCGACATAAATAAAACTGCTGCCATCTGGCATAATTTCTAATCTGCTCAAGTGTTTTCTTCTATCCATTTTTGAGCCTCACTTTTCTTTCTTTTTTTTTGGTGGGGTGGGGCTATCCATCCCAGCAGTCACAGGACAAAAAGAACGGTGCAACCCCAACAGGCCGCCAGTCTGCCACAGAGCTAACACAGAGAAAAACGAACACTCACAGCCAATTCTCTAGTTAACCTAACATGCATGTTCTCAGAGCGTGGGAGTAACCTGGAATAACCCAGAGAAAACCCACGCAGGCATGGGGAGAACATGAAAACTTCGCACCAGCCATCCACTGATCCAGGACGTTCTTGCTGTGTTAACCCCCACACTCTGTTTTCTTTAAATCTGATGTGTTTACTTCTATTGGTATATCAAAAATGACTGCAGCATGAGCTCTTCAGGGTGTCAGAGAGAAAGATGACCACTCCAACTCCAACATATAAACCACCTTCACACGACACACTCTATTACAAATACAGGACAGCATGCACCAATGGACATGAGTCCTCATTCATCAACTGTTTGTTTCACTCTAAAAAGGTATAACGAGCATATACTCATTCTGTAATTTATGACTTTCCTCATTGTTTGTGGCAAACTCTTTTAAATTATATTTACATTTTAAAAAGTAACATTCATACTTCCTGTGAATTTAGCAGGCAAGATAATAACTTTAATTTCTGACTATTCATGAACCAAAACAGCTGGATGATTAGATGCACATACATACACACACCGTTACTATGATGGAGCTGAATAAACCTGATGTTATACTTTCTTTCTGCAAAGAAAGTGGGAAAGATTTCCTTAAAACAGGCTTTGAGATACTCAACGCATGAGGAGAATGCACTGGTGCCAACTTGATTCTACAAATGAAAATATATTGATCTGCAGTTCACTCACTGCTTATTTAGATTTTTTGTAAAGAAAAATACATTAAGTTCATCATTCCTCCTATCACATATATTGTAATAAATTGCAGAAAGGTTGGACAACTCTTTAATACCGTGGAGACACTTCCTTGCAGTGTGCAATGCAGTGTGATGAGCTCTTTAATAATGAGCCAGTGAGGTCTGAAGAAACAGCTTCATTTTCAGTCTCTCAACAGCAGATAGTCTTTGATAGTCTCTGGTAAAGGAAGCTCTTTGACAGCCGTGGGGAGGAATTGCACTCCGAGACTTTGCCGTACTGCACAGCGTGCCAGAGAGCGAAGCGTGGGCGCCTGAGCCACCATGTTGGTCAGCCTCGCCAGCAGCTGGGGATCTTTACTCAGCTCCCTGGGAAGGGTGCCGTCGGCCCGTCGAATCTCAAACCTCCCTGCTGCTCGACACAGTAGCTCCAAACACTCTTCCTCTTGTTCGGTGCCCAGGCCTCGGGCCAACAGGGCCACCAGCCGGGAGATAGGGGTCTGGCCCTTCAGGTTAGTTACATGGACCTGCGCTCCATAGTCTAATAGCACTTTGACACTTTCAAGGTTGCCTTTCATTGCTGCCCAGCTAAGAGGTGTGTCATTGTTATAGTCACGGGCATTGGGGCAGGCCCCGCTCTCCAGCAGGGCCCTTACACACTCAGGATTATCTTTGAAGGCGGCCCAGTGAAGAGGAGTGTCTTTATTGCCATCCAGGGCATTTGGCTGGGCT